TCTTTGATAGGTTAAAAATCCTTTGAGAATATGTACAAGGGTAGTATAGCTGGATCTTGACATATATTGATTGCCATCTCCCTGAGGAAATGCCATGCTGATTTCCATAATGGTTGTACAAGTTTTTAGTCCTAGCAACAATAGATGAGTGTCCCTCTTGCTCAAACTTATCTCCACCATAGGTATCGCTTGTGTTATGCATCTTATCCAGTGTAATTGATATAAAATGGAATCTCAAATAAATTTGATCTTCATTTCTCTGATATCTACAGATGCTAGTTTGCTCTTTTCAGAATTCCTTTTTAGATCTGTACCTCATTCTTATACTGAGTAGCTTATTTTCTTGTTATTCAGTTTTTTGAATTCCTTATATATTTTGGGTATTAGACCTCCATTAGATGAGAAGTTGGAAAACATATTTTCTCAAACTCTATGCTGCTGCTTTCCATTACAGAAGCTTTTCAACTTCATGAGGTCGTAATTATAAGTTATTGATCTTAGTGCCTGTGCTAAAAGTGCTCTGCTCAGAAAGTCTTTTCCAGTGCCAATGAGTTTAAGGATATTCTTTAATTTCTCTTCCATCAGGTTAAGTGTGTCTGTTTTCGTCTTGAGGTCTTGGATCCTTTTGGAGTTGTGTTTCTTGCAGCATGTGGAGTATGAATCTATTTAAATTGTTCCACGTGCATCCATCTCATAATACAAGCATCATTTAATGAAGATGTTGTGCTTTTCAGTGTGTATTTATGACTTCTTTTTAAAAATTAACTTGTCTATATGTGTGTGTAATTATGTCTGGGTCTTCAATTCAATTCCATTTCTTTTCAAAATATCTGGTGTGTGTGTGTGTGTGTCTGTGTGTGTGTGGTGTACCAAACCATCTAATTTTTAGCACTATAGTTTGTAGTATAATTTGATGTCATTGATACTGTTACTTCCAGCGGGTCATTCAGCACTCAGGATTGTATTAGCTGTCATGCTGTCATATGTGTGTGTGTGTTTGTGTGTGTGTGTGTTTCCATATAAAGTTGAAAATTGTCCATTCATCTACTGTGAAGAATAGTGTTCAAATATTTGTGTGGATTTCATTGAATCTGTGCATTGCTTTTTGTATATGAACATTTTCACCCTATTTATCCTATTAATCTTAGTGATCCAGGAGCTAGAGAAATATTTCCATCTTCTGATATTGTTTTCAATTTCTTCTTTCAATTCTTAAAGTGTTTTATCATACAGACCTCTTACTTGCTTCATTAGAGTTCTATCCATGATATTTTATAAATTTTGAAGCAATTGGGGATGATGTCACTTCCCTTGTCTAATTTTCAGACCATTACTCACTTAGATATAAGAAGGTTATTCTGCTTTGTGATTTAAAGTTTATATTCTGTTAATCTGCTGAAAGTGTTTGTTAGCCATGTGAGTTAACCAGAGGAAATTTATTAGTCATTTATATATCCTATCATATCTTCTACAAATATAGACACTTTGCCTTTTTTCACTTTCTATTGTTATCCACTTGATCTCTTTCAATATTTTTATAGTTCTAGCTTATACTTCAAGTGATATTTTAAATAGGTATGGAAAGAATGGACAACCTTGTCTTGTTCCTGGTTTTAGTGACTATTCCTTTTAAGTGACGTTGGCTCCTTTTAAGTGACGTTGCTGTGTACTGAATTTATATATCTTGAAATGATATATGTTGAAATACATCTTGCATCCTTGTATTCCTAATCTATGCAGTTCTTCCTCCTCCTCCTCCTACTTTTGATGAAAAGGTGTTATATTATTGTCAAAGCTCTTTTCTGCATTTAATGCTCATAAAGTTTTGGCTTTTCAGTTTCTTATTATGGTGAGTCACATTTATTGATTTGCGTACTCTGAAACAGACCTGCATCTCATTCTTGTCTTTGGTTTGTTAGTGATTTTCCTCTATGTCCATAAAGGAAATTGGTGTGATAAGTTTATGCTTTTTCAAATTTTATATGGGTTAGCATTCAGAGTAATTATTACCTCATAAAATGAACTGAAAATATTCCTTCTGTTTATAATTTGTAGTATAATTTGGGGAGTACTTGCATTAATTCTTGTTTGGAAATCTTGTGAATTTTGTACTGAAACATTTGTCCCTGCTCTATTTTTAGTGTTGAGAGCAATAATGAATGCTTCTAGTTATGAAAGGGTTATAGGTCTGCTTAAACTGCTAACCTGATCTTCATTTAACCTAATGAATGACAATACATCAAGAATATTATCCAGCTTTTTATGTTTTTCTATATAGTGCTGTACTGGCTTTAAACTATGTCCTTATGATTATCTGGATTTTTAAGGGGTCTGTTGTTATGTTCGGCCTTTTATGTATCATTTTAATTTAGATTTCCTCTCTTTACCTATTACCTAATTTGGCTAAAGGTTTGTCCATCTCCTTGATATTCTCCAATGTTTCATTGATTCTTTTTATTCTTTTATTGTTCCTATTTTATTTCTTTCACCTTTCAGGTTTTGTTTTGTTTTTTGACATTTACTCTTTTTGGGTGTGAGTTCTTCCTTTCATTATGATGCTTTCACTTAGGTTATGAAGTTATTAGTATGAAGTTGCTCCTAACTTTTGGTGAAGGCACTTGGATGTATACATTTTCCTATTTGAACATCCTTAAAATTCCCCCATAAGTGTGGATATCTTATGTATTACATTTTCATTCACTTCTAGAAAATCTTTAATACTGTTTTATATTTCTGTCTTTACCCATTATTTATTCAGAAGTCACTTGTTCAGTTTCCAACAAGGTCACACTCCAACAGGGCCACGTCTTCTAATAGTGCCACTCCCTGGGACAAACATAAACAAACAGTCACAGAGAGAGAGAGAAGAGGGATACCCAGAGGGCCTGGAATTGGGGGTTAGGTGTCAGGGGTACCCCTAGACAGTCCCAGAGACCTGAGATATGAAAGGCTACCAGGACCCAATGGGGATGACATGAGCAAAAATGCCCAACACTGGGGTGATGGATCCAGAAGTGGTCACCCACAGTAGATAGCCATAGCTGCAATTTGAGGTAGGCGCCCATCCATTCATCTTCAAAAACTTTTAACACAGAATTGTTCCTGTCTAAAAAAATTCAGGGACAAAAAATGTAGCAGAGACTGAAAGACAGGCTACCCAGTGACTAGCTCAAGTTAGGATCCATCTCATGCACACACACCAAAGCCTGACACTACTACTGAGGCTATATTGTACATGCAGACAGGTGCCTGGCATGACTGATATCTGAGAGGCTCTACCAGAAACTGACCGAAACAAATGCAGAAACTTCCAGCCAATGATTGGATTTAGGTCAGGGACCAATATGAAAGAATTAGAGGAAGGACTAAAGGAGCTGAAGGGTATGGCAACCCCATAGGAAGAATTACAGTGTCAACTAACCATGACCCCTCAGAGCTCTCAGTCAAAAATCAAGGAGCATACATGGGCTTGTTTGTGGACTAGGCACATGTGTAGCAGAGGACTGCCTAGTATAGCCTCTGTGGGAGAGGATACTCTTTTAGTTTAGTTGGATATTTTATTTATTTACATTTCAGATGTCATTTTTTGCTGAATGATTAGCAAAAATAGCTGTCTTAACTTCTTCTGACATAGCAATTGCAGAAGCAGTGGTGCTAGCAATTAATGTAATTAAAGCTGTTATACCAGCAATAATCAAACCCAATATCCTCCTACTTCTGCTTAAAGCCTCACTCATTTCTTCCAGTACTTGACAGCTACTTTTAGAATGCCAAGGTTCTGTGTTACTCTGGGCACTAAAACAAAAGCTGGTTGATAGGCATACCAGATTTCAAAGAAGAAAAACAATTAGAAGGTGTACAATCAATGCAACTTACATTAAATACTGTAGAAGAAACAAAACTAATTTTAACTTGACAATATAAAAGAACCTTAACACATGTGCTAACAACTGTTTGAAATCCAGATCCTGCCCCAACTTTATGTCTTGCTAACGTAACATCGTAAAGAACTGAAGCTAACTTCCATATGTCTCTGAAAATTCCCAGAACCAGACTTCCAAATAAAGACTGTTATTTCCAATATTGGATTGATTTCTAGACCAGTCCATGATTGAGTTTGAATAATTGGTCACATTTAAGAACAATACAAGAGGCATTATGACTTCTCTTTTTGATTCTTTGTTCCACAAATTCTAAAAGCTTGAGGCAAGGCAGCTTGTCCCATCAGGGGTATAGGTAAGCCATGGTGGGTCAGGAACATATGTTCAATACAGCTTCCCAGTCACCATTGACACAGCACTCAGCAAGCTCACAGGTCAGTATCATTCTTTGTCCTGGTATTAGTATGTCTCACTGTTTATCTGGTGACCACCATGCTCCTTCATGATTCTGCAGAATAAACACAAACATTCCCTTTCCCCATATTTAATACCTGATCAAGATCATGACTTTGGCAGTGAGCAGATCCATTCTTTTCACCATGCATAAGTATGCCTAGTTGTAGAGTGCCATAGATACTCAGCAGAAAGTTCCTTGGTATCCAAATTTTTAGAACAAAAATTTAAAATAAAAAATGAAAAGATCATGATTTAAATAACATTTAAGTTTATGAGGATATAAGAGAAAACACTCTTAAATCCATGGAAATTTGAAGCCCCAGGAAATAGGGAGGATGTCAGAGGTGAGGTGTGAGGGAGCACCCTCTAATAGACAGGGGAGTGGAGGATGGGATGAAGAACTCAGGGAAGGGGTACTGACAAGGATGAGGGAATCTTTTGTAATGTAAGCAAATAAAATAATTTAATAAAAAAGTTTTTCTTTCTTCTCTAGTTTTTTATTAGTGAGATTTTCTTTGAGGTTCATATTCAAATACCTAAAGTTTTCATTTCCAGGTTTCTTTTAGTTTAATAAATCTTCATTAGTTTTATTTCTACTCTTAGGTGTTGAACTCCTTTATTCATTTCCTTTGCTCTTTCTGCCTTCATTAATTCCTTTATTTCTCCTATAAAGAGCTCTATATCATATATAGAGGCATTTTAATATCTTTGTCTCCAATTCTGCTCTGACGCATTTAGCAGACCCTATTGTGGTAGGATTGCTGGGTTTATTGGAACCTACTACATGATTGAAGTCATGGTGACCTCTTATTTCACAGAGGGGCCACAAGTTGACACTGGGTGCATTTGTTTTAAAATCTCCAATTTGCTAAAAATCTCCAATTCAGAAATTATCATATAATCTTTCAGAGAAAGGTCTCAGGTGGATAGATAGAACTTTATATTCAATGAATACCTAATGAAGTATAACATCCATCACAGAATATCTACCCACGCTTTTTCCTGAATACCAGACTAACACTCAATCCCAACTTCATTATGAATTGCATTTCTTACTACAAAATTTAACTGCACAAAAAGATATAGAAGCTAGAAATTATACTTAAAGTTTCTTTTTTGAAGGATTTTATTTGCACAAGTATTAAAACTGAAAAATATTTATTTTAGGAGACGTAAGTATACATCAATGAAAACAAAAATTCCAGTTGGCATGTGAAATATTTGAAAACTCCCAGAATTCACATTACAAATGGATTTCATGGGAGTTAAGAGTTTAACATACTCATCAAAGGCCATTCATTGGAGTGGATGGCACTCCTCTGCAAATGGAGTCTCATTCCATGTGCTTGCTTCCTTGTGACCATTAGGCTGCTCACACGATAGGATACTGAGCAAATGTTGCAATTCCACAGTGGTTGTTTCTGTCTTTGGCGATCTTCATATATCCGCCCAATCCCCATTTTTTACCCCAGCTGAAATAAATCATATTTTCCACTTAGTCGAAATAGTAACACATGATAGACATAATAACTGGCAAGAGGCCAACATAACAGCCGTATTAGGGAAAGCAAAATACCTACTCCTGAGTAGAAAGGGGTGCCTCAAACTGGATGTGAAATCTACAGCAGAGAATGGGAATTTCTACCCATACATGCATGAGAACTGAAAACATGTTTTATGTATGACAAAAGTAATGGTTCTTACATGACACTGATATTCTCGAAACCAGAGTAAGAATGGAAATTTCACAATAGCATATTGGTACTAAGTTCTTAGAATTATATAGGGTAGCTCAGAGTTTAATGAGTGGAGATCAACTCCAAGGGCCATTTAAAACCCAGTTTCACATTGTACTGTGCATGTAATGAACATTTTTGGGAAATGGACATGGGGTATACTTGTAGCAAGCTGGCTAGCTAAAGAAAAATTCCTAGATCAGTCAGAAACACTGCCTCAATATGAAAGTTGTATAATGACTGAGAAACAAGTGATGTTAAAATCAGACCTCTGCACAGGTGCACTTGCACACACACACACACATGCATACAACATGCACATAGGCAAACAGACATCACATCTGTACATGAAAAAACAAGAATAAACTTTGTTCAACTTAAATGGGTCAAATTTTCTAGTCTGTGCATCAAAATACTGACTGCTGCATTCAATCTCTTCATGAATCTCCTGTTAGGGTATCAGGCCCTTAACCACTAAACCATATTTGTAGCCCCTGGAATTTTAAATACAGTAAAATTTTGTCAGTTTATACCTGTTCTTAATCAGCCAGTAGTTATTGTCATCTGTTTCATTTCCCTCAAATCCATAGCCAACCACCAGAACTGCATGATTCACAAGATGTTTGCACCTTGGCTCATAATAAATACCTGAGAAATAAAATGGAAGCTGACATGAGATGCAAAGAATACATGATAGTGAGCACTGCCACCAACAACAGGGAGGCATTTTCAAAGATCTCTGAAATTATGTAAACTACAATAGAATAATGAGCTTTATGAATTGATCCCATCTATAACAATATGTTTATATATATAAACATATATATATATGTATATATATATTGTTATATGTTTGCATATGTACATATATATTACACACATATATACATATGGTTATAAAAAATTGAAGTCATTCAAAGTTGTCAGATTTCATAATGATTCTGGTCCACAAGCATATGAGATGACTTCTTGACATTGTATGCTTATATTACTAGAATCTTATGCTAAGTTAAACTTACAGAACATAGAGTACTTAATTGAAAAACTCCCTTATAATTTGGTTTCATATAATCTGTCTTTGGAAATCTGCAAAACATCCACCAAAGTGAGAAATTGTGAAAACTTAGCTAACCAATAAATTTTATCATGTGGAGGTTCATATCAAGTGAAATTCAGTATTCAATACTTTTGCACGGGGATGAGTAAAATCCAGAAACTCAAATATTCACATAATATGTTTTACATAGCATCTGTTCTATGAACTTGTCATGGTGTAGGGATGTCACAAGTGTTTTTTTTTCATATCTAGAAGAAAATATACTAACCTTTTTTGTAGAACCGTAAAGAACTGTAGACAACATTAATTCCAGCAGCAACAGGCCCTTTAGTTGCTACAGCATCCATTAGGACATCTTCATCTTCTGAAAGGGCCACAAATGTTTCGATTGTTGCAAATGAATTCTTAGGATTGTACCTGCATAGTCCTTCCTTTAAAAGATAAAGAAGTAGAAACTCAGTTCCTCCCACATACTGCCTGGGAGCAAGAATAAGAACCACAGCAATCAACACTTTGCAAATGAATACAGTGAAGTAATGAGTTTCAAAAATAATCCCAGGAAGCAAAATGCTACCAGATGATTAGAAGCTAAACATAAGTTCTTTTATCTTCAATAACAACCAATTAGGTGTTCCTAATTATAAGAATACTGTGTGCCACAGAGTTCTGAATTATCTGTACAACTGTTCACATATTCTCCATGTACACAAAAGGAAAAAAGTCAATATAACCTCATACCAAAAACTTATGCAAATAATACATAACAACAGCACTGTTTGTGTACAAAAAGATTCTACTATGTAATATGAGCTCTGAAGATAGTGTAATATCTCTACAATTGTCATTTACTACAAGCTGAGCTGAAATAACAATGTAGGAAGTCTGCTTACTTTTGCTTCGTATGGATAGGTTGCCTCAGCCTCCAAACCTCCATTCTCCAGAACATACTTGAAGCCACTGTTTGTAGTACCCCCATTACAACCTCTATTGCCTTGAGGTTTAGAACAGTCCACTAGGTTCTGCACACTCAGTGGGATCAGTTTACCAGTTTTCTTGAACATTTGTGCTTCTATGGCACCAGCCACAGGAAAAGCCCAACAAGACTTACAATTTCCCTAAGCATAGAAGAAAATATGGTCATCCATATACCAATACAAATGCAAGAAACAACATAGAAGGAAAATGGAGATGAAAATAGAGAATTGACAGTTGATAGATCATAGGAAGGAGTGGTCAGTCTCCTAGAGGACTTGAATGCTGGCAGTAGGCACCTGCTCAAGTATACAAACACAGATACACACACACACACACATGCACGCACACACACACACACACACACACACAGAGAGAGAGAGAGAGAGAGAGAGAGAGAGAGAGAGAGAGAGAGAGAGAGATACACACCCGGATATTTGAGCAAGAGTTATTGGTTTTAAGGGTTATTAATGACAATAGAAGGGGGTGTGAGTTCTACAATTAGAAGAGAATCTAAAAGTTGGAGAGTATCTGTGACACACTGGAAGATCAATATACATTCTAAAGTGTATAAAAATTTCAAAGAAGAAACATGTTATTTAATAAATCAACTGCAAATCCCTCCAAATTCAATTTCAATACGTAGACATTTCCTGTATTGACATTCATGTGGTTTGAGCAGATGGGCAAAGCGTAGCATGTTGGTGCATGTCTTTATTCCTAGCACTTGGCAGACAGAGACAGGAAGATCTCTGTGGATTCAAGACCAGGCTGGTCTCCAAATGAGTTCCAGGACAAATAGGGTTCTTAAACAAGAAACCCAATCTCAAAAAAGGAAGCAAGCAAGCAAACAAACAAAATCAAAAAGAAGAGGAGGAGGATAAACATGATCAGCAGGAGAAGGAGAAGAAAAGCATGTTACACTGTCGTACCTGATCATTCACACGAGTCACATAGCCTTCCTTGACCCAATTAACAGATTTGGGCAAAGTATCTTTCCAATTCCAAGAGTAAGGAAAATTACTATGAAGTGAACGCTTCCAGGGACTTCTCACTGTGTCGTTAATTGGCAATGTAAAACCAATTATCATGTCCTTGAATTCTTCATCAGTCTTCCAGAAAAAGTATATAAATGATTATTAAAGAAAAGACTCCATGTAAAGCACTAAAGGAAGCAAAGTATGAGTCAATCCATGTCACACTCACCATGTCAGCAAAGTAATTTATTTCCATGGTGTAGGTATTCTTCCCCAGGGAATTCTCCATGTTGTGCAGTTTAATCTTTTTCACATTTTCTTCCCATACTGCTCTCTTCAGTACATCTTCTTCCTGGATGAGAATATAATGGAAGACAATTTTATTTAAACTCCTGCACAGATGGACCTTGCAGACTTGCTGCTATAGGTGAATAGAGGCCAAGGAAGGGATCTCAGGATACTATGGTCTCACTTTTACATACTAAGGAAAAGAGAATCTGAACATCCTGTGCTCACAACGATTTTTATTATGAAATCTCTCCGTGGTGGAGGTTGTGGTGGGGCACCTATGATCTCTTATGTACTTAGACATTTTTATTCTGGGACCCCTCTGAACATGTTCCTGGATACCAACCGGAGTGTAAGACTTCTCATATTTTATCTTCCACTCTTCCCATTCGACATCCAAACTGAGATCAAATGCTGAAACACCTGACACAACTCCCAAACACAGGATTACCAGGAAGACAGCAGGAGTCATTTCTAAACCTGGATATAAAAGCAAAATGAAGATATGACTTCACCAGTGTTTTAAAAATGTCTTCTTACTTCTCCTGAGAAAATAAGCCATGCATGGTTAATATAATAATTTGCATTATTCTTCCAAACACTTTTCAAAAGAATGAAGAAAACATTGAGGATGTCTTTGAATCAAGTCACACAGTGATAGTTATTAAACCTATTGCAAAATGAAAATCATGGACTCAGATTTCTAGCATTGTAAACTTTAGGTGTACTATATCTTGTTTCAGAAAGATCTCCATGCACAGTAAGGAACTAGTGACTTGGGATATCACTTATGTTTTTTATTAACCAGAACTTCTATTATGTGGTATTTTGTTTTAATTTCAAGGTAAACTCAAGAGTTGGTGCCACATGTCATCATATGCCTTTCTAATATATAGCAGTGGTGGGCTTGTCTTTAAGCCCTCCTCTTTAGTGATACTTTGTGAAATATCATCTATAAACAATTTGAGATGAATCATTTACTATTCTTTCCATCTATACAATCAAATTCCCACTGGATACCTATATAAGAATAATGTCACATAGAATCCAATAGTAAGCCAAAACCACTAGAAAAAGAGGAGTATAATATCAAATTATTAATGGGATTTTATATTCTGTACTTGCTGAATTTTTAAAGCAACACTCCCCATAGGACCTGATAGGAACATATCTCCTGCCACTGCATCTGCACCTGTAAATTGAAAATAGTTACGTCTATGGGTTAGAGCAAGAGATGTCTTCAAAAAACCAGCTGCAACTCTGTGGACTGAATCAGACTTTCAGTTACCAGAACCTTATAGAAACATAGATCCAGAAGAGTTTTGGTTTCCTCTTAAACTTCTCTACAAACCCCAATTCTACCTACTTGGAGAGCTGGTGATGATTAAGATATATTTTTGTTCTTTGTGATCTCTTTGATTCTCCATGGAGTCTCTCAAAGCACCCATCCAAGCCCACTTTCCACCCTCCCATTCACTGGTAGTGCCTTACCTTTCTGTGATGACCACTACTGCCTCAGATCACTCCACAGATTCAACTTGTTGGAGGATGGTCAGGATCAAGGATCTGTCCCATCTATATATCTGAAGTATCTATAGGTTTGGACCTGCCCCTCATTCATGCCTTTCTTTTGATTGGCTCTGTTGGTAACTAGATTAAGCCTGTAGGCACTGGGACTTCAGGCATCTTCTGAGATATAATCTGATTGACCCTTTGGCATGGCTGTAGGCTACCTCTGTGGACAGCAGGAAGCTGAATTTGTGAACCTTGTCAAAGAAAGTCATCCTGTAGCTTTTGGATCACTTTATACTGGATATTTTTGCTTCTCTGATTGTATTTCCTGTAAAACAGATGTGGTGTCGTACCCTTTAAGTTTAGAATAGGATGTTTAAGATACCATTTCTTGCAAGGGCTTAGTCATTATATATTGCTTTATGTTTAGTCCATAGCTAAGATTGGATACTTTGAGAACACAAACCATGGGATTCTCTTTTCCTGGTGTCATGGTGTAACATAATTAGATCTCATGAGAATCTTTAGGAGAGAGTGACACCAGGGAATGAAATGAAATTCAAGGCAGAGTCATAAAATAGGGAATATGAATAAACGTGCCCATAGTCAATAATCTCATTAAATTCACTGGGTCTTCTCTTGGAGAATGAACTGAATCATCACGTAGAAGCACCATCTTCCCTGTCCCCTTCATTGTGGCAACACTGTGCTGACTGGAAACACTTATACTGGCCATTTTCAGGACCTATTCTGGTTACTTTAAGAGTACACATATTGTTTGACAGCATCACAAACAGATATTTAGAATGATTTCCTCTTCAAGTTTTCTCTGAAACCTGAACAGTAATCCTCTATCTACTTCACGTCCCCTTACCTTAGCAACTATCATTTCTTTTTGTTAATGTAGATATTTGACTATTGCTTTTGGTTTAATGCTTTTCCTTACAAGAGCCTGATGAAATGTATTTTCCATTGCATCAGCTTTAAAAAGTGGGACCATTAAGAAACATATTATTCTAGAATAAAGACTGTCATATTTTCACACTGTATTGTCAAGTGTCATCTTTGATTTATTCATTTATTATTGCTTTTGGTGGTTTTCTCAGATCAGGTAAGACGTGCATGATTCTATCTACCTTATGCCATACAGGACCCAATGGGCACAAAATCTAAGACTATTTGAGCCATTGCTAAATGTTGGTTAATTAATGAAAGGTGATTTTCTAAGGATCACATAAGTTATTTTATAGAATGTAGAAGCACCAATAAGAGCCATAAGTTCTTACTATATACCACGTAGCCCTCTATGTTCTGTGGGCCTTCTGCTTGTTTCTTTCTTCAGCTTTTCTATTTATTTTTAATTAACTTGTGAATTTCATGCACAATGTTTTATTTACCATACCCTTTCTATTCTCTTAAGTCCTCCAAGCCCTCCCCCGGAAGCTTCCAGAACACCAGCCACCAACAAATTAGAATGCATGGACTCTTGCAAGGCTTTGGACACATGTATAGCAGAGGACTGGCTGGTCTGGCTTCAGTGGGAGAAGATGTGCCTAACCCTTGAGAGAAGGGGGGCTTCAAAGAAATAGGTTGCCTTGTTGGGGGTATGGGAAGCACCCTCTTATAGGCAATGGAGAGGAAGGATCTTATGAGTAACTGTGAGAGGGGAACCAATAGGTAGGGTAATGGCTGTAAGGTAAATAAGATAATTCAAAAAAGAACAATGATAAATAAAGAACTGAAGACTCTGTGGAGGGCATAACAGGAATGCTTTCCTCCACTTCTGCACTGGATGCTTTTCACATAAATCTCATATGCCATACATGTGGGCAAGCTTACAATGCTGAATTTACATTATAATCTGAATTTCCTCTCTCACCTCTAGAGGCATCTTCTTTATCCCTACAAATGTATAGACCCATTCTTCACACTCCAACAGATACTTCTAAGATACTCTTTTACTAGGATAAATTTATCTATAGGAGGAAAATGGTCCAAATACATGGAGACATCTCAGTGATTTTGAATCTGGCAATTAGAGTGAACTCTAGCTTGGAATGTTTAACAGATGATCTGCATCTCTGTGTTCTACAGAGCAATGTTTCTGGACTTTGGGTTCAGATAATGTCTGAGCACCAAGAGATAGACACAATCAGCAGGAAAGAGCTAGTCAACAGGAAAAGCCTTAGGCCAAAACAGTCCTCCTGTGCAGCATGTACCCAAGTGCCTCCACATAGACATAAGGAGGACATAGTTACACTTTCTCTATGTCTCTACTTTTTTATACATTTCTACTTCTATATCTATCTAATTGATATGTCCTTTGTCTGTAGAGAAAACTACAATGCAGAGAGATGCCTTAAATATAATATTTATTTGTGAATAATCATAATCATTGTTCTCTACTTTCTATAACCAAGATCAGAAGTCATTAGCACTTCCTGACTGTGGATGCCTTGCTGCTCCTCTGACTCCCTGACCAGAAGGAGGCAATTTACCTGTAAGAACTAACAAGCTATCCTTGGGACCAAGATGATATACCAATAGCGAAATGACCCCATGTTTTCTGAGGGTGCTTGGGGATATGGGTTGAAATCTTCTAGGCTTTTAGGATGGCCACACCAGATTTGTCCATAAAACGTACATACTTTACTCATACCAACATTCCATAAAATACCATGTTAATGTAAATGTTAAAGGAATCTCACCAAGAGGGAACAGTTAAACAGAAAGGCTCCTGTATACTTCTACACTGCAAGCCTGGTCTTCTTCTGTGAAAGTTCTTTACTTATGGCTGGCTGAGAGGATATTATTGATGGAGTTTCAGTTGGTTTCAGGACTGCCAGGCAGGCTGTGAGGGTCAAGCTGAAAGTTTAATGGACACACACGAGTTTCCTTCAATTTTACAGATGGGTATCATTATACGGGCTATAGATTTCTTGTCATGGAGTCACAGCAGTGTGATCCTACATACTAGCTCCATAGTTCCATTTTGTTGTTGTTGCTATTATAGCTTAAACCTTCCCTTGGGCAGTAGCTTTGCACTATTTAAACTCACAACATGTGGTTGGTTTACTAGCACAGCAGCACCATCTTAGAATTATATCATTTGCATTTCAAAGATATATCCTGGGATAGGATCATATCTGAGCTGTTTGTTGGCTTGCCTGGATCTTGCTTGATTCTGAGACATAGTACTTTCTGAGCTGCCTGCTGACAAAATTCTATCTCATCTGAAGCACATAATTTTTAGTCAAAGGATATGTTTTCTAAGTTAACCTAGATTGATTTAAGCTATATTCCTTATACTTATGGAACCAGAATACTCAGCCTTATGTTAAGGCAATGTGTTCTTCTTCCTAGAAACAGCCTTCCTATTTCTTTATCATTTTTTCACTCATTGCTTCACATACAGACAAAAGTTATGGGGCTTATAACAATGAGAAACATCCTATGTTACCTCTAGAGTTCCCTGAAAACACTGAAAAACATAAGAAGCTCAAAGTACACAAGGGCCTTTTGTAAATTTTTGTTTTACAATAATGACTGGTTTTTAATAGTTTTGATAGAGATATATTCTTTTTTTCTTTTTTTTCTTTTAAAAAAATTTTTTTATTGGATGTTTTATTTACATTTCATATGTTGTCCACTTACCCTATCCCCCACCCACCCGGGAATCCCCTATCCCCTTACCCCTCCTCCTTCTTCTCTGTGGATGTAACCCCTACCTACCCCTACACTCCTACCTCCCCACCCTCAAAATTCCCATCCCCTGGGGCGTCCAGCCTTCATGAGGTCAAGGAGCTCATCTTCCACCTATGCCCAGCAGGGCCCTCCACTCTTACATATTCAGCTGAAGCCCTGGATCCCTCCCTAAGTGCTCCCAGGCTGGTGGTTTAGACTCTGGGAGCTGTGGTTGGTTGGTATTGTTGCTCTCCTCATGGTGCTGCAAACCCTTTC